CCCCCGGATTTTTATCAGAACTTGAATGAAAGTCTTCATTCAAGGCACCAAGGAATGACTCTTTTCACCTCACAACGCTATACTTTTCTCATTGACAGACAATTTTTTTTCTACAATTTTTTGAATTAAACTTTTTACGAGTTCAATGTACAGATTATCTAGTCCATGGATTGACTGAAACATTTAGCCTGACTTGGTATAATTACTATACATTAAATATTAGATGAAATAGTCGCCTTTTCGACCTTTAGATACACCTGGAAAGGCCATCTGGGACTTTGCACTTATTGTGCGCACATACTTTATACCTTAACTAGCAACTTGAACAATTTTTGTAAATACTGTGCCTCTATGTACTGTAGTATTATCGATAGGTTATAAAAATTAAAGGAATAGGTAAATATATTGAGCAAGAAGGAGCCAAGGCCGATAGGGGAACGGAATGGTGTGAGAAAGCCATCAAGTAGTTGAACAGCTTTAATCTCCGAAAAATTTGGTTTCCTGGAAAGTTCTCCCAAGACAGTAACACTGTTTTTAATAGCCAAATCTTGATTTCGTTCGGAAGTGTCAAAAAGTTCTGCATCTTGATGTTTGTTTACCAAACCAATAGTGGCTTTTTGCCAGTTTGAAGCTCCGTTTGTGATTAAATGAATCCTTCAAAAGCTACTAGAATATAAAAAAATTGCTCAAACGTTTCTATGGAATCTTCGTTGGGAAAGCAACGATCTTTGTTGATTGGTGTAAAGGGCATTAACGGGTGCAGCGGCGCAGAAGTGCCGTTTGTAGGCGAGCAGATGAGTGGCGGCCACCCTCAGTGCTTCCGTGGCGCAATAGGCAGCGCGTTCGGCTGTTAACCGAAAGGTTGGTGGTTCGAGCCCACCCGGGAGCGAAACGTTTTGCATTCTATCTGGGCGATTGAAAATCATATGAAACACAGAGGAAACGACTTGTTGGTTCTGGAGGGTACCTTTCGTCAATGGAAATTCGGGGAACGTGCAAAAATTTTCTGTAATTTATGAATTTACTCAAAATATCGTCTGGAATCTTCCCTTGAATCAGGAGGTTCCTTAAACTACCGCGTCATGCAAAGGTGTCACTATGACGTTGGAAAGTCTCAAATTCATTCGAAAAAAGCTCGGTTGCCTGGGAAATATTTTACCCTCCTTCGACAGAATCATACATACCCTTATATCAATTGGGTGGTCTTGATTTTGTTTAACTATAGCTTTTACAAACTGAAAGAGAATCGTCATTTCTTATCGACTAATTGCTACTGACGATTAGATAACGAAGTTTTTTTTCTGCTCAGAAAGGTTTTCTATAAGATTTTATTACTTTAAATCAAGTCAGATACCATTCGAAAGGCATTAAAAGGTAGGAATAGTTGTTCTACTTACTTGATGGGTAAATTGTTTTTGTTAGGTCCAGATATGGAATTTTCTTCCTAATGGTTCAGTTGCCCTGTGGCTAAGTAATGTCATGCGCACAGCTTACTAATACGTGAAAAAATTTTTCCCCATCTAAGTAAACTTTTGTCTGACCCCCTTCAACACTTTTTTGATTCAAGACTGATTTTCAACTGGCATATGTCGCTTAATGGCCTGCTCTCAAAAAATTCCGAGAAATAATAGTGCGTATTGGATCCATAGATCTTATGTAGTTCGCCATTTTTAAAAAACCTACTAACTGGGCGTTCTCTTAAGCCCTCTGCACAATCAATTGCAATAGGACTTTTCTTATGTATTGAATGGAGAATGGAGCAATGGAGAAGTGTAGTACTGCGGCGGCTGGGGAGTAGTCATCATGTCTCATAGTGCAGAACAAATTGAAAAACAGCTGTGCAGTCCTCTTGCAGACCGCCACCTCACCCACTGTCCACCTACACACCCTAAGCTACCAAAAAACATTGCCTTGTATAACATTTCTGACAAAACATTGGGATGGATGGTGTTGAGAATGCTTAGGGTCATGGCTGTCATACGTACTGTTCGGCAACTTATTTTCGACCGAACCAATCCAGTTATATTAGATCCGCAACTGACTTGAAAGCCGGAGCAACAGAGCCCGAGGTGGTTGTATGACTAATGGGATTCTTGAGTTTATTGAATGACGTTCTGGGTAAAATGTTGCGTGTTAAAGGGGACCACTGATCGATTGGGTATTTTTCAACTTATTCATAATCATTATGAATCAGTCTGAGCATTTGTACTTCCTTCTCTGCTGGAGTCATGCTGTGAGCCAAGATTGCAATCAGTGCTGTTGCGTGTCACATTACGCCATGCTTTTGTTTGCACCACAGAAAAAAGAAAGAACATCCCGGGAAGGATATAGACTGTAATAGATAGGCTACAAAGGAAAACTCGGTCAACTAGAAATGATTTCTTCTTTACAGGCTTTACATGCATATCTGGTTCCTGTAAGGACTGAACCCCGCCGACGAAGGGAACGGCTGAGCCGAAACACCAATCGAGGAAAAGGCCCTTCGATAATGAAGCCCCAACAGTACCGACATATTTTCGTTCAACTGAATTACGGCAGAACTCGCTGGTGAGTTCAAAAATTCTTCTAAAAACTAGCTTTCATTTTGAATAAGAGACTGAGGCTTTTTTATGTCGATTGCTTGCTCATACGAGATCAATGTTTCCAAGAGATAAGAGGAAGATCGTTTATTGAAAGAGAAATAATCAGAGGAGAAATCTCTAGTATGCTCCCAAATTGCAAGTATGAACGCATAACTTGGCAAGCAATGAACTGGAAGCGTCTTTCAACTTGCCAAGGTTTACTCAAAAGTGACTTATCAAATAGGGATGAGCTCTGTGTTATGAATTGGTAAAGTACGCAAGGGGCTGCTGAAAGATGGCTTGGAAAAGACTCGACTTCGAGTTTGTTCCCTTTAGTATGTAACTGATGGTGCAAGCCAACAGAACCGCTTTTAGAAAATGCTAAGGAGAGGAAACATTGACTCCAAATTTATAGTGATGTGAGAAAGCATGTTGATTTTGAAATAATTGCTTGTTAACGACTATAAAATCATCATTAGACTGCAACTCTCATCCCGCCGTTGAAGAATGTTCTCACAAGTATGACACCACACAGAATACTATCAGCAGCTATATTTCTCTCCCACCTGCTTACCCTACGAGAGCTTTCGTCGGAAAGCGGTACGGAGCTACAATTGTGAGGTCATGGCAAGAATGAGCCATACCTACCCCTCCTCCAAAACCTAATTTACAATTCACTTACAAACATTTTTTCAGGACAATTTTTCGGTTAATACCCCACACCTGCTGACAATTCCCTAACTTGGATGACCGTTGTGAAATATTAGTGAAAGTTGAACGTTATTAATATCAAGAAGGTTTCGACTGCTTCACTTCTTTCGAAAACATTTTTCGAAAGACATGAAGCAGTCGAAGTCCGAAAATATATTGGGAACCCACCTGCAGGCATCAAATCAGTATCGACGTTGCATCCGTCAAGTTTCAAATAATCCACCTCCCATTCAGCGAAAGTGTTGGCATCAACCTAAGAAGCAAACAAGTGTTTGAAACGCTTATGTCCTCTATCTGAAGCTCACCTGCAAATGCCCTAAGCTTCCAGGGAATCCTGCGCATGTCTTCGTACCATAATCCTCGTAGATGCCGAATTTCAAACCTCTGGCGTGCATCTGGAAAATCGATTTTAGCCTCAAATCCCAAGTTTTCTCTCGGGTATGGAACCTACTGACGTATCTGGCCAAGTTATGCATCCCGCTGGGGAAACGTATGGGATCGGCGACAAGTCGTCCAGTTACCGGATCTCGTACACGTCCCATCCAACAGTCATCTACATGAACACTCACGTAGCCTGCATCTCGATAACCTCCCACAACTGAAACTTTTGAATTTCAACAAATACAATAATTCCTGTTTGAGAACGGCTTATCGAATGTTTTCATCGTACACTTTGGGAGTTGGGAGTTTCTGAAGGAAAATGGAACGGAACTCACCAAGGGCGTTTGCCATTTCCATGTAAAGATTTTCGTTGATACATTTTCTTGGATACTTGACGCAATCCATCTGGCAGTAGAACGCCGTCCATGACATCCATCCCATTGGAGGGGTCCTGAAAAAGGCAAATTCATTATATTTCATTCCTTATATGGAACGTTTGTCATATAACTCTGTCCTTTTGGGAAACTCAGCATTAAAAAAAGTGGTAATCATGACATGCGACCTGCAAAACTAGATAGTGGCTAAAAACCTTCAAGTGAAGTTAGGGAAGTAAGAGACCTCTAAACCTCCCCCTCTGAGTAAGAACTAGGAGGTCCTTTTAGGACTCAGTGGTTTCTTTCTAAGCACGTTTCGAAAACGGGGCTGTTTAACGCCAAAGACTTCGATATTTATCCTTATCTATCCTGTCTAGTCACTCATTGGAAACTTTGATACTGCGTGGTCCCAACCGCAATCAAGTGCCGCTATAATTTCTAACAATTGTCGAAACCATGGCGCATACCGGGGGTTGATTACACCATTTTTCTATGTAATCGTTGAAAAAAATTCAAACCAACCTTGCTAAACCATTATCGAGTGCGGCCACGGTCCCGAAAAGAAATGCACAGACCCAGAGCATACCCTGAAGTTGTAATAAGTGTTAATTGAGTTTACTAGGCATTTGACGTGGTCATCTTTTTTGTGCTAACAAATACCATCTAGAAATAGTGAATGACATAAAAATAATGACAAAATAAACTAAAATGAACAGATTTTAATGGGAGCTAGCTGGAAATTTCCCTCATTAGACGAGAAAAACTTCGTAAAAGGAAGCTTCCCGAACAAATAATAACTGAACAAGTGAAACCAATCGGAAATACTCTGAAAGATCATCAAGTATATGATGCTATCAATAGCTAAAGTTATCAATACATCAAGCCGTTCATTAGCGATAATGAAAAACGTACTCCAGAGAACTCAAAAGGAACTTATTCAGACAATGGAGAGGCCTACCGCAATGTCTACGGTAGGAGTACTGTCCCGTGAGCAAGAATCGTGAGAAGCAACTTCATCAAGCTCTTATGAGGACGTTGGGGTGTTGTGGTGCAATAGGAACGAAATCGTCGCGTCGCGGCGAGAGACGTCGCGCGCGAAAGAATGTAGCAGAATGCAGTAGCAAGCAAGTAATACAGGAACCGAAAAAACTGGTAGCAAATCATGCCAAAAGTATTGATTGCATAGCGATTGAGCTGTAGGAAGGACACTGGAACTGTTATAATGAGGCGAATGATCCGCGACAGCCGCGTGCGGCGGATCGATCGCACAAAACCATTCCTACTGCCCGTCTCCTCACCCCTGTCCGTTGGTACTAGGCTTATCCGAGAGGACAAAAGCTTTGGCTTGCACGTGGGCTGGCTTCAAAGGGAAAGCCGATGAAAAGACCACTGATTCTGAGTAAAATCTAAATACGGGAATACGGGATTGATAAATGATCAGAGACTTTATCATTTTATGATGGTTTTCAGCGAGTTGGGTGAATTCCTTCGGGAATCGGGAAAAATGCGATGACATATTAGTGAAGGAAATGGGACTGATACTTGTAGAGGCAAAATAAGGATCAGATACTTCCGAGTAATAAAATGCACTTGGATAGACTCGAATTTCTCGAACATTCCAGAATCAACCTATGATTTCCCCCTTAAATTGAGAACATTTACAGCCAAACAACGATGATTGTCAGAAATGACTTTGGAAATGATGCCAGTTCGTGCCAGAGAAAGCAATTTTGAAACGAGTTCCCATGGTTTTTATCAGTAGAGCTTTCACCGGGGCAAATTATTCATGTGAGGAAATTGTACCGTGAAAAACCTATTTCACGAATAGAGCCATAGAGCGTGATGGGATTTAAACGACACCTTTTCTTCACACTTTTCAATGTTAACGCATTGTGGATTGCATGACAAGTCCCTTAGGTAAAACCTAGTGACTCAGGTCATTTTCGATGAACAGTGAAAGTAATAATGACTTGACAGATTTCTTTCTATGTGCGGCTCGCTGTTCGGCAACTGATTCGAGGCCAAGTGTGGCCAAAATCGGTTGAAAACCTCTTTCGATAATGATATGAATCTTTTACAATTAGGCTGCAATCGATTTCTGGCCACACTGAGCTCCGACGTTCGACGTCATCTTCATTAGCGCCGATCTTTACACTGCTACTATCCCACCCAGTTTGCCCTGCTGAGAAATAGGAATAAATCGACAACAAAGCAATCGGAGCAACATTGAGTGATGATTTTTCAGTGTCAAAGAGTAGCAGACATAAAATGAGCTTGACTAGACCCAATAGTGCTGGGCGGGGCGTTCTCCAAATAGGCGGGGTTTGCTGCCAGACTCCATCGCGGGCTGAGATCTGCTAGATCGAAACTTGTGATACACAGTCGATTTTTCAGGTACACAAGTAGCAATTTAGGTTGGGAGGCTCTCGAGGTAGTGAGGAACAAATGTAACTAGAATCTGTAATGATTAGGGAGCTAGCAATAGGAGGAGTAATTTCGTCCTTTCATGAATCTCCCATTTTTGCTGCTTCTTGAAAAGATTCTCGGTCGTGATGCATCCTGCTTCTAACTAAAAGATCTTCCATCGATCTCTTCACCGAATGAGGCAGATCATTCTCGTCCAACCACCAGAGATACCAATCCTTGGGAACTCTGAGATTCATCTTACTCCTTTCCCGATATCAGCTGAAAGGCTCTGGGAGTTTGATGGCTAGAGAGGCGCTTAGTCAAGGTGTAGGCAGCCCGATAGCATGATTTTATTGCTGGAGCACTGTATACGGCTTCGAAAAAAATCGTCCGCTTCCCTCAACCAATGCCGAGCAATTAATTTGTCCTGCTGTTCACCAATGTGTATGGCTCACTTTCCCAAGCTCTACAGTCCCATTACCCCTCCCTTTTCTTCCATTTGTTCCAGAACAACAGAAGGAGTAAGTGCACAGATTACGAGGATATTGAATGAAATGCCAGGGAGAAACTTCTGTTAGAAGCTCAATACTTTCTCTTCCCAGGTGCGTTTGGTTCTCAATGGTCAACGACAGGAGCCAACCGTCCGATCTCTTGCCTATCATAGCAGCGCCGTCTGCCGTTGAGCCACAGTACAAAAAATTTAGATGTGAGTTTAAAGGTTTTTTTTTCGCTTTTATTTCTAAAGCTTGAGACCCTTATTCGCCTGTCGTTATTTATTATAAATAAAAGTCCTGTACATGCCATACTTTAAACTAGGGGATGTTTCGCGATGCAAATACGAAACGGATCTTTGAACCGAAAAAACTGAATGAATGTCACCAAATTTCAAGTGTAAACGCACAAATTAATGACCGATTATGGCTATGATACATCAAACAAGAGTGGGTTGTTTTCAATTCTAAAATGGAAATATGTATGTACAGTAGACTGTTTGCCCAACTTAACAGCCATTCAAAGCAAAATACCGAAATTTATCAAAGCAATGCAAAATATGAGTCTCAGTTATTAATGTAAGGGCCAAGTTTTTTCAAATCCTAGGGAAACCGGTTGTCAAAATATGATTTGACTTTTCTCATTTTCTATCGGATCCTGTCGATCCTTCGGGCAGTGTTGCATTAGGGAACATGCTGTGGCTTAGTAACCTGGATTATTCTCTATTGGGGGCTTAAAACAGCTTAGCTATCTCGCAAAAGTGATATTAATTCACTGAGTCAAGCAAAGCAAATGATAGTCGGTGCATCGTCTCGGGAATCTGAGCCACCTGTGCTCCTACTCACGACCGGCAAGTCTACAAAAGGGTAAAACATTTGGGAATAGGCCCAACATTGACTATAAAAGGTTTACTGGCCAGATATGTGGTACTTATCTTTCCAGATGAGCTCAGTAGCCATCAAATGGGTGACAGTAGGTGGTGGAATCGGTTCCCTGGTCAAGGTCCGATTCTGCCTACATCCGCTTCACTTCCGCGCAGTTGCCTGATCTTCGGTCACCGTCTCACCTTATTGCGGAAAAAGGCAAAAAATCGAGGAATGCAGGCCACTGACAAATGGAGCAACATTAATCAAATTGCCTAATTTGCATTATTTTGTAAGAGGCGGAGGCGGCGGGGCAACTGATGGAATTTATTCACCAGGAGAGCAGTGGAATCACCCTACCGACTTTATTAGATGGTTGAAAAAAAGAAAAAAAGCGTACGCACTGGATCAATAAACGGGCTCGATATTGAGTCCAATCGAAAGGATGGCATACAATGGAACTCAGGTCACCTACATATATCATGGAGTTCCCGAATAATCCCTTGCCAGAACATGGGATAAGGATATCAAGTACTAAACTCGTAAAAGCAAGGTATGGAGATATTCACTGGGTGTATGGTACGGAACAATTCCCGAACGACCCTGGAAAGTCCCAATGTGCTCGAGCCATCCGGGTATTTCATCTTGTCAAGGTCAGCTAGGCTGACTCGCAAAGTGACGGGTATCGGCAATCATTGTGTGGACTACTAATGCATGCAAATGCTTCCAAAAATTAAAAGGAATTCGAATGCACAGCGCATTACTGCCTGACTGATCAATGTCGGCCTGCCCTCGTTGAACAACGAAATAGTCAAAAAGAAGGTGTCAAGGGAAGAAAGACCTCTTACAGAGAGATAGCAATGCAAACCGTAGTCACTAAATTGTATAGTAAGGGGTCTGTTAGAGTAGCCTGACGGAAATGGACCAGTGATAAGGTGATAGTAGAGAGAGTTCGTATCAGAGTTTGGAGAAATTGAAATTGAATCGGAAGGCCGCCGCTGCGTGTGTCGTGTAGTCGCCTTGAACACGCCTACTACTAGCGCCTATCGAGCTGTCTTTGAACGATACGGCACGAAAAATATTAGTAAATTCCTATAAAATCAAATGGTATCTCCTATTCATAGGATAAAACCATTTGGTTACTCGTGACTATGTTATACCTCGGAGAGCATATTTGTTCGGGTGGTGTAGTGGCAAGTGGCGCACTATCACATGCATGGTCCCAAGGTCGAATCCGAAATCCCTACTCGCCCAAACCAACCTAGTATTCCAGTCCTCTGTAGACATTTAATGAGTATCAAACATGTCGGGGATGATGAAAAGCTCTGCTAGAGTTAATCGGCTC